GCAGGGCGCCTGGGCCTTGGCGCTGGGGCAGGTGTCTCGTGGCACCTGCCTGCGCGGTCCAAGGGGGGCCTCGCGCTGCTTGCTGGCGTCAAACTCCAAAGCGCGGCCTGAGGCGACGAGGGCGTAGAGATCCCGCGGGGCATCCATGGTCGTCCCTTGGGGCGGATGGCGGCGACCAGCGCGTGGTTGCAGCGGTTTCGTGCGCTGGCGCTGGGCGCTTGGATCTCAGTGCCAATGCTTCACATTCTTGCGACCAGGCAACTTGCGGGGCGGGCTCTCGCGGATGGTGGGGCGGGGGGGTCTGGCGACGGCGCGGCGGACTCGGGCATCGGCGGCGGAGGGGGGGGGAGAGGTCCGTGCCCTCCGCTGCTGGTGCAAGGTTGATGTGGCCCCCGCATGTTTCGCCTGGTGGTGGGCTTTGAGCGATTGGCCGTTGAGGTTTAGGGCTGCCGCCTGGCGGTGGAGCTCTTCTGGGAGCGGCGGAATTGCGATCGTCAGCGAACTTGGTGCGGAGAGAGCGGTGGCGCGTGCCAGTACTGTCGGACGGTCCAAACGCACACGGCACATGTAATGTCGTATTTGGGGGTGGCCGCTGGCGCGCTCCACGGTTTTGAATCGGCGCCACCCGTGCGAATGCATCGATGGCGACTGGCGTTCAAAGACCTTCTTGTTTGGGCGAAATCTGTCGGACACCCTGCGCGGAATGCTAGGTCGGGGCAGATGCCCGTGAAAAGATCGATGGTGGTTGGCGTAGAAGGACCTTCTGGTCTGGGCGAAATCTGATGGACACCCTGCGCGGAGTGCTCGGTCGGGACAGAGGTCCGTTCCGAGGTCGTCGAAACATTCTTGCCCGTCGAGCGACGCCCCCGCGAGCGGCTCCTGCAAGCGAAGGGGGGGTGCTCTGCCTGTGTGGCATGCAGCGCGGTGCTGACGTCACTGATGGCGGCGTGCGGGACCGCCCCGAACCTGGCCGGACGGGGCAAGCGTGCTCTCCGTGTCGCGAGGATGCGGTAGGCTGGTGCCTCCCATGTATCACTCGTGCTTCCGCGCAACACAGTGTCCAGAGATTTATTTTGCAGCAAGCATGTGAGTTGACAGGAATGGCGCCCTCGCATCGCGGGCACTATCCAGGGACGCCTCTGGCTGCGCCCACTTTAGAGGTGCCAACTTTGGTGCCTCCATTCTATACATCCGTTGGCAACTCTCCGTCGCGTATTCGGAGACACGGGTTTGGGATCTGGAGGAGTGGTTATGGCACCTCTCCTGCGCGCTGCATGCCTCTCAACGCTTCGGCGATCAGATGCAGGACCCTGTCTGGAAACGTCATTGCCTCACTGGTGGCCCACCCATCCATGCCCCCCACTCTGATGGCAAGACAGGCACGGGTGCCGTGGGTGAGGGCTTCGTCGGTGAGGGCGGAGCCTTCTTGGGCCGCCCTGGGGCGCATGGCGGATCACCTGGAGCCGGCTTGAGGCCGTCCGAAGCATTCTTTGGGCAATCTTGGGCTCTCCGAAACCTTGCTGGACGTCCCCTGGGGCCCTCCGCTTGCGCCCCGAAGTCCCCAGCCCATCGTCCCCAGACCCTTCTCGAATGCAGTTGCCCTGGCGTTGTAGAAATGATGAATAAGGAGGCCCACCCAGTGCAACCACGGCTGGCAGGAAGAAATCATATGTCAGGGCGAAGCCCTCCTGTCGGCGTCGTGATGGAAGGGCTCGGTCGAAACTTGTGGCGGGAAGCACTCGGAGGAACTGGAGGAGGGGGATTAAAGGGGGACCCAAGGTGTTTAGACGAGTAGGCTGGAGCCTAGAAGGGCCGAGTCTTGATGGTGTGCAGGGAAGAGGGCAGCCGAGGGTGAGTGAAAAAAACAAGCAGAAGCAAGAGAGGGAACCCGGCACCAGAGAGAGGGTGTGCGGTGGCCCCGAGGCCGAGAAGGAGGAGGAGGAGCAGGAGGAGGAGACGGAGGAGGACGAGAAGAGAGGAGAATGGATAGAGGATCTCTCTAGGGCCCTGTTTGGGGTCGTGGGCTTTCTTTGGGGGTAGGGGGGGCGAGGCTTGCTGGTGTGTGCAGGGAGGAGGGGGGGGAGGGGGGCGAGCATAAGGATGATGATGAGGAGGAGGAGGAGGAGGAGGAGGAGAAGGAGGAGGAGGAGGAGGAGGGAGAGGAGGAGGGAGAGGAGGAGGAGGAGGAGGAGGAGGAGGAGGAGGAGGAGGATGTGGCGGTGGAGAAGCAGGAGGATGAGAAAAAGGAGGAGGAGAAGGAGGAGGAGGAGGAGGAGGAGAAAGAGGAGGAGAGCGACACTGGAGAGACAGGTGTGGAGGCACCCCGAGGAAGAGGAGGAAGAAGAAGAGAAGAGAAGAGAAGAGAAGAGAAGAGAAGAGAAGAGAAGAGAAGAGAAGAGAAGAGAAGAGAAGAGAGCAGAACAGGGAGAGGGGCATTTTGAGGAGTTGTTTGGAGTTCGGGGTCTTCTTCGTGACTGGGTTCCAGGAGCGGCCAAAAGTGCCAGGGCGTGATACTCTCTTGGGAGCTCTTTGGCAATCCTCAGAGTCCCTTGGGTGGCCGTGGGGCATCCCGGAGTGTTCTGGAGCTTCTGTTGGGTCTGGGGCTCTCTTTGGTGCTTCTGGGGGGAACCAGCAGCGGCGAAAGGTATTTGGGCGGCTGGAAGCTGTCGTTGGAGCTCCTTGGCATCTGTCGGAGTCTTGTGGGGGGGCACTAGAGCATCTCGGAACAATCCTTCTTGGACGCCTCTTTGTGCTTGGGCCGTTACCGGCCACTCGTTTTCCGCCTCGGTGGTCTTTTGGGCGTCTTGGGGCCATGCTTGGGAGCCCGCTTTGGGCCATATTTGGACGAACCAACAACACACACCCATACCCATAGGGGGGTCGGAGAGGGCTGTGGGTGCGTGTTGTCGAATGGGGGTCCCCGCTCGAACGGGAGCGTTCCCCAAGGTCCGACACCCCGCACCCATACCCATAGCCAGTTCTCCTCCCAACGACCCCCCTACGGGTATGGGTGTGTGTTGTCCGTTCGTGACTATTTGGGCTGCCCTAAGAGGGAGGGCAATAGAAGCTTCGTAGGGCCGCCTGGGGCCTGTCTTGGGCCGTCTTCGGGCCCTGGTCTGTCTTGGCGCCCTCTTCGTAGCCTCCAAGGCCGTCGTGGCACGATCGTGGGAGGACCTGGAGCCGTTTGGGGTCGTTCTGGGCCCGTCATGGGGAGACTATGACTTATCCAGAACAGCGAATGGCGTTTGCTGGGTCTCCTGCGCAGAGGCTTGCCTATCACAGTCCTGCCCCACGCCACGGAGAAGGGGTCCACTGCCCCCCCCCTCGTGTTTGCCTCAACCTGTTCAGAGGCTCTCCCACTCTCTCTCTCTCTGTCTCGTTCTTCTTTCGCGGCGGCTTCCTCTGCTATTGCCGTAACTTCCTCTAGTGCAGTGGCTTATTGTGGCTATCCCTATAGCGTCCCAACAACCATCCATCAATCGTCAAACTCAGATGCAGAATGTGAGATATCAGAGTAGAGGAGAGTAAACAAGAACATCTGCGTGCAACAGGTAGAGCAGAGCAGCGTCGAGCAGAAGAGAGCAGAGCAAGGGAGAGTAGATGAGTACCGGCAAGCACAATCAAGCAGGTTTGCTTGGAGTTGACCGGAGCAGAGAACACACTTGCAACACTAATCGAGCAGAGATGGACATATGGGGGGTGCGGATAACAAAAGGAGGGTATGATTACAGTAGGGTGTATAGCAAAGTAAAGAAGGATCTATGGGTAGAGTGGAACAGGGTCGAGTCGATTTGCGCAGGATAAAGCAAAGTGGAGAAGAACAGGAGTAAAGCAGGAGTTGAGTAGAGATAGTTAGAGGATAGCATCATCGAAACGAGCAGGGTAGGACTGGAGTAGGGACTATGAGCGTATGAGGAAGTCTAGAATATCAGGGGGGGCGGGGTATAGTATAGTAGAGCAGGGTAGAGCAATGTAGAGAGCACATTATATTAGAATGGAAGAAGGGAAACGGACGAGTAGTGCCGCGTATAATGGAGTATAGTGGAGTAAAGTATATCAGCGCATGATGGAGAATAACATCGGGGATTCAATTATAGCCGGGTAGAGTAGGAGTAGAGTGGCGTTGGGCATGGCAGGTTACTGTAGAGAATAGAATAGGGTAGAATAGAACATAATCGAGCAAGGTAGAGGGCAGAGTAGAGTCGGGTATAATAGAATAGAGAAGAGTGGAGTAGAGCCCACACCAGTCCAGTCCAACCTACTCCAATGCAGTCTACTGCAATCCACTCCAGTCCACTTCTGTTCAATCTTCTGATCTATTCGGAGTCTGCGATGGCTGGTATCGGGCCTCGTGGGGCCGTCGCCGGGGCCCCCGTGGGCCGTATGTTGAGCCTCTTGGCCTGTCGTCTGGCCCTCTTGGCCCGCCATGGGGCTCGCTTCGGGTCCTCTTCTTTTTTGCTTGTTGTTTGTTGTTGTTCCAGGTAGCGCCTTGAGCGCCAGGATCGTCCCTGAACGTTTAGAAGCAGACGAAACATCATGCATGTTGAACTGCAAAATCGTCCTTCCTGGGGAAACCAAAAAGTACTGATACCGCTACTCCCCGGACTTCTCCCAGGGTACGTTCCGACCAGAATCTCGAGGCGAATCCAACGGTGGCGACGAGGGCCTCCCAGGAGGCCGAAACAGGGGACAACGGGCGAAGGGTAGAGGTATGGGTGCCTTTGCCTCCTCTGACTCTCGCCTGCACCACCGTGGTGTGAGACACCCAAAACAGGGTGGGACGCTGACGTCCACCATCCTCGCTTCGGGTCCTCTCAGGGCCGTCCTGCCGCCCTCCTGAGCGCATCCGAGCTGTCCCGAGGCCGGCCGAGGCCCTCCCCGGGCCCTCGCGGGACCCTGCCGGAGCCCGAGGTCTCGGCGCGCCCCGAGGCGCGCGGAGGCCCCTCGGGCTGCTGGCCCCGCCCGTTTCTCGCGCGCACTGCGGCGGGGCCCCGTGGCACGGGTGACGTTTGGCTCCACCTTCACCTCGCACATCTCGCGAAGCAGCGACAGAGCCTGCTGCCACCGCTTGCCTTTCTGGTGCACGCTGATGCCAATGCTGTAGCTCTTGCAGTCGGGCTCCAGCCTCGCCGCCCGCATCTCGCTGAACAGCGACAGAGCCCGCGGCAGCTGCCTCCCCTTGTTGCACGAGCTCATGACAGCGTTGTAGCTGATGGTGTCTGGCTCCAACTTCGCCTTCCGCATGTCGCTGAATAGCAACAGAGCCCGCTGCCACCGTTTGCCTCTCGCCCACGCATTGACGCCAGCATTGTAGCTGATGACGTCGGGCTCCAATCTCGCCTCTCGCATCTCGCAGAATAGCGACAATGCCTGCTGCCATTGCACCGCCGTCTCGCATGCGCTGATCCCAGCTCTGTAGCTGATGGCGTCGGTCTCCAGTTTCACCTTCCACATCTCGCTCAACAGGGACAGGGCCTGCTGCCATTGCTCGCTGGTCCCGCACGCGCTGATCGCATCGCTGTAGCTGGCTGCGTCGGGCTCCAACTGCGCCTGCCGCATCTCGCTAAGCAGCGATAGGGCCAGCTGCCACTGCACCCCTGTCTTGCACGCGCTGATCCCAGCGTTGTAGCTGATGACTTGGGGCTCCTGTTTCATGTCCCGCACCTTGCCGAACAATGCCAAAGCCAGCTGCCACAGCTCACATTCGCTGCACGAACTCATCCAGTCACTGCATCTGACAGCGTCCAGCTCAAATCTCGTCTCCCACATTTCGCTGAGCAGCGACAAGGCTTGCTGCCACTGCCCGTCTGTGTCAGACGCGATGGTATCATCGCTGCAGCTGACGATGTCAAGCTCTAACATTGTATCCCACCACTTGCTAAGCAACGTCAGGGCCCGCTGCCACAGCTGACCTATCTTGCTCGAAGAACCTAACGGGGGATCCGATAATGTTTGGTCCAAACCGCGCCTCCCGCACCCCGTTGAACACAGCGAAGGCTTGCTGTCCCGTCCTGCGTGCCTCAGTCTCGGTGATCCCAGATTTGTGGCTGATCGCGTTGGCCCCCAGATTCGATTCCACAACTTCTTCCTCACGAGACAGTGGCCATTGGCACTTTCTGTGCGAGCGCGCTGCCAATCCCAGAGCAGTGGCTCTTGTGCTCTCGAGCCGCGCAATGCAGACGCAGACGCGTCGCGGAATAATTCCAGCGCGGCTCGCGCTACATTTGACTTGCCTGCCGCGCGTCCCTGTGGCCGTTTCGGATGGACGACCCTCGCCAGATGGCCAAGATTGGCCCAAAGAACCTCGATCCACTCTCCATTTCATCCCATATCCGCCACTGCAGCCTGCAGCGCACCTTGCGTGTCAGAATGCCACGCGGTGCAATTGGCAAATGGTTCAAGGGGCCGACCCGGCTATTCTGCGGCGCGCCCAGGGGGGAAGGCACCGGCATCGGACGCCGGCCTTCTCAGAAGGAGGCGGGACTCCACAGAAGCCTCTCCATTTCCCGAAAAACGCTCTGGGCCTCTGCCACAAAGCCGCAGACGGCTTCTCAAAAGGGCTGGAAGGTTTTTGAGAACCCCGGCCGCCTTCTGAGAAGGCGGGCCCTCTCCGTCTGGTTTTCGGGTCAGAACTCAGCTCTCTGGCGGCCGTTGGAGACGATCCTGTCGCACCTGGGGCGCTCTCGGCGAGGCGCAGCCGCTGGAAGGCCTCCTGAGTCTGGAAAGCCACCGGCAGTCGACGAACCAATCCGAAAACCTCGAGCCTCGAGCCTACTCGCCCGTAGCGTTACTCTTTCCAACCGCTCTCATACCCGCCTCCTCCTCCTCCTCCTCCTACTCCTCCTTCTCCCTCTCCTCCTCCTCCTCCTCCTCCGTCTCCTCCGTCTCCTCCTCCTCCTCCTCCTCCTCTTCCTCCTCCTTCCCCTCCTCCTCCACGGCCTCCTCCTTCTCCTCCTCCTCCTCATCATCATCATCCTCCTCCTCCTCCTCGCCCCTCCGTGCCGAAGCGCTGTGGCCGCGCCGCTCCGAAGCCCCCTTCTCGGCTGCAAGAGAGCGTGCGGGTGGCGCGCCGCGTCCATCGCAGACTCCCCTCCAGCCATGCCGGCCCCGACCTGGGCGGCGGGGGCCCGTGTCCTCAATGCTCATGCCCTTCCCCACTGTCCTCGCCGTCGTCCTCCCTCCTCCTCCTCACCCTCCTGCTGCTGATCTTCCTCCTCCGTCTACTCTTTCCCCCTCCTCCTCCTCCTGCTCTTCACTTCCTTTTACTCTCCCTCCACCTCCTCCTCCTCGTCCTCCTCCTCCTCCTCGGCCTCCTCCGCATCCTCCTCCTCCTCCTCAATCTCGTCATCCTCATCCTGGTCCATATCCTCATCCCCACCATCATCACCATCATCATCATCATCATCATCATCATCATCATCATCATCATCGTCATCGTCATCATCATCATCATGATCACCATCAGCAACCGGGTGATCGCCAACATCATCCTCATCGTCATCTTCATCGTCATGCCCATCGTCATCATCATCATTCATTTCCTCCCTCCTCCTCCTCCCCCTCTTCCTTCTCCTCCTCCTCCTCCTCCTCCTCCTCCTCCTCATCATCATCATCATCATCTCCACCACCTTCCCCTTCCAATTCCGTCTCTCTCTCTCTCTTTTCCGTGCCGATATATCCTCCTAGTCGAACGCCCGGACGTGTCGGTAGGGCGGACTGGGCGTGTCACTTCTTAGGGTCCTGCAACTTCACAGTGGCAGCAACTCCACGGATGTAGGGGTCGTTGGTCAGAAAATAACTCTAGCTGTCGCCTCTCGCATCATTCTTGAAGTCTGCAGCAATTTCAAGGGTGGAAAGGGAGGGTGCTTTCAAAGAGGAGCTCTCGACCTAGCGCAGCGCGCATTCGCACTACAAGCTTGTGCCAGTTTCACGAATCGAAGGCGGTTCCTTCAAAAAATGGCGCTGTCGCCTTGGCGCTCTGCGTAATTTATAGAAACTGTGGCATCAACTTCGCGGATGGAGCGCCGCTCCCCTTCAACCCAGGGATTTCGCCTTAACGTCGTCGCGCCTGTTCGTCGGGACCGCTTGCAACAGTCACAGAACTGGACTGCGGGCGCCTCCATGTCAAACTGGGGCTTTCACTCGAGGCTTGTTTTGGGCGCCAGAAACTTGAACATATGCACCAGCTGCACGCATGAGGGGATGTGTGCTTACAAGCATAAGGCATTTGCATGAGCCTGTTGTGATTCTACTGATCAGAAAAATTAACTTCCAACGCGGTTTTTCGCTTGAAGCTTGCTCTGGCACCAGAAGCTTGAATACATGCACCAGCTGCGCGTGAAAAAGGTCGGTCCCGATTTCAACTTTGGGCGTTCGTGCGAGCCTTCTGCGGTTCCACTATGGCCTAGAGACGGGACCGACGCAACGGCTGCACGGATGTAGGGCGGCCCATTGCCCAATTGTTTTGTCTTTCCGATTGAGGTTTCCTTGGCGCTCATGGCCATAAAGCGAAGACCTGCGCAGGAGCTGCACGGGCGGGGGGAGCCCTGCTTCAAGACAGGGGTGTCGCTGGACACCCCTTTCGAACCGTGCAATCCTGCATGCTGCGCGTTCCTCGCCGCTCACCGAGAGGGAACGGGGCAGTCCGCCCCTTTTCGAGACGAGGCTCTCGCCTTCGAGGGCGTGCTGCTTGCAGTGGAAGGAACTGGTAGAAACTCATGAGGGGACTTGTGTGTTTCCCACTGACCAAGCAGCCGGGCTCTGCCTCTGCGCGCCCGACCGCACGCTTCGCAGGCTCCCTCGGGAGCCCACTCGCTCGGACCCCGACGTACTCGATGTCCACGAGGTTCACCGCATCGTCAGCATCGCTGATGCATCTTGGGTTTACTCCGGTCCAAATCCCTCCTCCCACAGGCGTTTTCCCTGCAGCGTCGTATCCTCCTGGTTATCATGCTCTCTCTCTCTCTCTCTTCTTGCACCACCGCCTCCTCCTCGTCCCTCCACCACACATGCTTTTCCATCATAATCATCCTTCTCCTCCCTATATTTCCAAAATTTATTTCAAGGTGCGTCTGGCGGGATTCCAGGAAACTGGGGACTTCTGGTAAACATTCGCATCACATGTAACAGCTGCGTTTTCCAGACCAGCTGATACGTACAAGGTTTTGCGCAAACAGATGGCACAATGCAAACCGCAACCGTGATGCACATTGAAGAAATTCAATACCCCGTGCAAATCGATTGCGAGGTGAAGACTTGTGGCCGCGGCCTAGGCTATCTTCTCGGTCGCCTCGCTGCAACCATTGCAATTTATTTTGCTCATTGGGCCGCGACCATTTCTCGCTTCTCCTTGCCCGAAAAACACTAGGCGACGACGAATGCGAACGCGAACGCCAACGGCAGAGCCGAGGCCAAAGCTGAAGCTGAAGCTTATGCACACGCTACGTATAGCTGCAGCGAGCGCTGCAGCCACACCAACCGAGGAGGCACCCGCTGAAAGTTAAAGCTCGTGCTGAGACTGTCTCGGGAGGTAAGTGTTTATAGAGGAACAACAACTGCGTAAAAGTAACTTCTTGAGCTCTGCGCGGATTTCTTGAATCGGCGCCCGAGTCCCCTTCCTGTGCGCCAGGGGCGGCGCCAGAAGCGCCGCCAGGGGGGCCCAACGCCGATCCAAGACATCCGCGTAGACTTGCGAGAAGGTATGTTGGTGGAATTACTCGTTCCTCGAATGCTGTCAAACCTGCAAGCCCAGCCCAATCACAGCCAGAGCCGAATTCGACACGCCAAGACAGGTTTCAAGCGAGAGCGCTTGGCGAGAAGGCTAAGTGGTCGCAGGCGGAGGCCGAGCTCCCGTCGTCGAGTCCACCCCGTGCTGGTCTCGCATAGTTCAGAGGAAGAGAAAACGGCACCGACATAAACTTTTGGGCGCTCCGCGCGGATTTCTTGGATCTGCACTGGACCCCCTCTCTGGGTCGTGGAGCGCGCCTTGTGGCGGCGCCGGAGGCGCCGCCTGGGGGGGCCCAGCGCGGATGCAAGAAATTCGCGCGGGGCGCCATCATGCCGTTTTTTTCTTCGTCGAGAGTTGGCGATCTCCGGCCCACCACGCCGCGCCCTCTCCTTCTCCCCCCCCCCCTCCTCCTCCTCCTCCTCTCCTCCTCCTCCTCCTCCTCCTCCTCCTCCTCCTCCTGCTCCTCCTCCTCCTCCTTCTCCTCCTCCTCCTCCTCCTCCTCCCCCTCCTCCCCCCTCTGCGATGCGGTTGCGCGCGGGGAGTCCTGCCCGGCGAGCCCAGGCGGCGGCCAGAGCGCGGCGCGCCGCTGCCCTGCGAGCGGGCAGCGTGTTTCGGGTCGGGCGTGCTCCCCTACAGGCGAATCTTGGACGAAACCATAAAAGTAGCCCAAACATATCCAAACATGGTCAACAATAGTAGAAACATCGTCGCCATATCATTTTTTGACTATTTCTAAGTATTCCTCCTGTAGAGGGACGTGCCCGACTTACGGCCAGCGTGTCGCGCCGAAACGTGTTCTACGTCAGCGGCGTGGCAGAGAGGCTGCACCAGCGGGCGGCGATCCAGGGCGACCGATGCGCGCACTGGCCAGCGTGCCGAGGGGGGGGGGGGGGAAAAAGGGGGGTCGCGCAACAACGTGGTGGGCCCGAGTCGGAAGAGCGACACGCTGAGCAGAAGCCCCTCACCGCCCACAACTTTCGTTGGCGACCAGAGTGGGCCTGGACAAAAGTGGCACGCTGCCCAACAACAGAGGCCGTCCATGACCGGCAGCGGCCGCTGTTGGGCAGGCAATCTGCTGCCTGAAACGGACAAGCGTCCGCGGTGGCGCCGACAACGAAACCTGTTCAAAATGGTCCAGAAGTGCTGTCGGTCTTCGCACCCGTTTTTTCCATTAGGCCTCCTCCTAGACGGGGACGGGGTAGATTGGGTCCGAGGATCGTGCCGCATCGCCGAGGCATCGGCGATGCATCGGCGATGCATCGGGGATGCACCGGCGACGCATCGTCGTCGATGCATCGGCGACGTCGATGTGAAGCAAACTGGGCTCCACATCGAGCCGCATCGGCGATGCATCGGCGATGCGGCGCGACCCTCCGACCCCACCTGCTCGGACCCCATCTGGGAGGCCTCGAGGAACTGCTGTCAGTCTTCGCACCCGTGCTTTCCATACCCAACTAAATCGCACCAATCACTGCGCTGCTCTTGCCTCTCCCTGGCCGCGGCTTCCCGGCCAGGGCTCCGACCCGTGGTCGTCAGCTCGGGGGCGTCCAAGAGGAGAGGGCGCAAACCATGGCCAGCGGGATGTCCGCGGCCCAGGGGGGGGGGGCGGGGACGAACACAGCGGTCGGAAGAAGTAGGTAAGAACATGAAGTGAGAAGGCGGATATAAAGTACGTTGGGTTCAGGCTCTCCCAGGGAATTACAGATAGCAGCAAGAGCATCTCGATTCT